ATGTAGCCAATAGTTCTGGACCATCTTTTTTTTTTGCAAGAAAACCCTCTTTTCTCTTGTTCCTTAACATAGGTCTACACATGGGGCTGTAATGATGAGGGAGGCCTGGGCCGTGTCACATCAAGTGATAATGGTGAGGAGTTTACCGCTGGTATTGTTCAAGACATGGAAAGTGTCAAGGTTGTCATGGTGTCTGCAGGAGACAGCCACACAATGGCTTTGTCGGATAAAGGGACTGTCTTTGGCTGGGGCACTTATAGGGTAAGTACTTAAGGACAATGATATTTTTCCCTCAAAATTTATAAGTTAAAAAATACATTTTTCTGTGCTCTGGCAGCTTTCTGCCTCCAGTAGTAAAAAAAGGTAAAGAAAAGGCACGCCACCATGCATTCTTTTTTCTGCATTACTGAATAGGGTTCTTAGAACCTTGAGGTCAGTCTGAGTCTCGGCAAAATCAAAACCAGCTCCAAGATCCTATATTAATCATAGGACAAAAATTTTTATTGCGATCTCAGTGTTTTTACGGTAATGTGGTGTTTGTTATTTTTTCTGCAGTGTTGCAGTCCCCCAATGTCCCTCTCATTTTGGAAAACTAAATAATTTTGAATGTTACTTGTCAAATGGACAAGTGGCATAGAAAAAAAGTTTTTGTCTTGGTTAAATCCAACTTGTTGGGTGTCCCATTCCAGGATGCAAGTGGACAGGTTGGCTTACAAGTAGATGGCATCAAACACAAACCCACTGTGATTTTGGCACTGCAAAACAACCCGGTAATAAAAATAGCATCTGGGAATGATCACACTGCAGCCCTGACAAAGAATGGCAACATTTTTACCTGGGGATGTGCCGAGCAAGGACAGTTGGGCAGAATAATGGGTTGTTTTACCAGTCGAGGTGGAAGGCGGGGTCTTCAGTACATTCTCAATCCAAAACAAGTCAGAGACAGGAAAAAACTTAAATTTAAAGACGTTTTCTGTGGGAGCTATTCAACTTTTGCAGTTGCTGAAGATGACTCCGTCTATGCTTGGGGCTTGAACAACTACGGCCAACTGGGAACAGGAGATGTTGAAACATTGTATGCTCCAGCAAAGGTGGAATCTCTGACATCTTTAGGGGACAAATGTGTCAGAATAGCTAGTGGTCAACACCACACAATAGTCCTGGATGCCTCAGGAAAGGTGTATGCAATGGGAAGGGCAGAGTATGGAAGGCTTGGGGTAGGAGAAGATGCCAAGGAAACATCTACACCTGTTCCAGTCATTGCGCTCGATAATAGCCCCATTTCTGATATTGCTTGCGGTGAAGCTGTCAGTTTGGCAGTCTCAAGCAAGGGTGACCTGATGAGAACCCCAAAACCTTCAACAGATGTCGATCCTTGTCCTCTTCTACTCCTACTCATAAATGGGTGATTTCATGTTCCTTTCTTAAACGTCAGACTAGTCGTACTTCATAATCCTTAGAGACGTCCTCCCCAACATACTGCTATGCTTGTAAGGGAAAGAACTCAGTGAAAATAACAGCAGTAACTGTGCTGTGTAGAATAATAAATTATTGTGGAACTGATGCAGTTCAACATTGTGCAGCATATTTTGTGCAGTAAGTTTTTTAATTTTCTTTATTTTTTTTAATGAAGCAAGTGTACATTAATTTTTGTACCTTAATTGCAAAAATCTGTTGCCTATTGTTAGTATTTTCTGCTAAAGGTGAACTCTCACCACACTAATAATGATTTGTTGCTTTCTTATCTTTTATACAAGTGGCAATAGTTAAACTAATGTTTGCAAGAAGTACCTCAAACAAACCACTGTGGGGTTTCACACTAAGAAGGCAAAATTCCTGAGAGTTTGAATTGGGCGATCAAATCCCAGGCATCAAATTATTCTTTATTCCAGTGTCCTCCCTGGGTATTTTAGGGTAGGTGGGCCACCTGGCTTAGTTCATGGGAAAATCAGTGACACCTGGCTTAAAAACCAAAGTTTTCAACCAGTGGAAGTTTATAATGACATCTAGAACCTGGTATTTCACAGAAGAAATCACTCGCGAATGTTGATAAAACATTGTCTGGTGTTTTTAAAACAACTGTATTTGTGTGTTTTCTTGCAAGAAATAATTTAATTTTGATTATGAAAGTGATTTAAAAAATACTGTTGGATAAACATGTTCAATCTGTTGTTTTGCTGAAAGGCAGTGATCTTGAATATGTCCCAGAAACACAAGGGCCCACCAAGGAGCTTACATGTAGTACTAAACAAAAATCCTGTGCTTTTAAAGGAGTGTCTAAATGGAGAATCTGGTCAACCCAAGATATACAGAGCAAAATAAAGCTTGTCAGAGAGTCTTTTACGCTGTCTCTATTGTTATTCAGGCTTCATACAAACACTGTTGAAAATCACAGTCAGGGTACCCCTTGGCTTCTCAAAATCCTGGGGAGAACACTGTATTCCTTGTTTTAAAGAAAAAAAAACTGTAACATTTCTTTGGTAAAGTTCAATTTGCAGGTCCCGGTTGTTCCAACATTGGATCGCAAATCCACCTGATAAATTACTCCCCAGCAAATAAGGACTACACAAACCAATTTATTATTACGTTATCCACTGGATAGTAATTTATCCCAGGGCCAGGTCTGTTTTATGCTTGAATCACTCTTAGGTGTGTGGCCACATTTAAACATTTTTCAACAAGCCACTGACAGAAACACAATGATCACAGTATTTCTCTTATTAGAGAGATTTAGAGTCACATCTACAGCACACAGCAAACATCAGATTCAAGTTAACAATTTCTAAAATAGAAAATAGGCAAATAAAAAGTGTCCAGAGCAATTTTTATGGATAAAACTGACGTGAAACCACTCATTTTTGTGTAGAAGTGATTAACAGTAAACAACAGTTACGGGGGAAACTTGGTCACATGGTACAAGTTCATGTTTGCCATTTGGCGTAAATTTGACTCTAAATCTCTCTATTACTTTAAAATCAAAAACCTAACATGAGCTTCCAGAAATTGTATTATCAAACAGATTGTTTTGCATCTTGTTTCTTTCATTCAATTATTATGACTGTTTCTTTGTTCTTTTTTTATGCTGTGAGGATATACTGTAAATATGAATTTTTTCTGCTTTTTTTCCCATTACTTTGTAAAGTAAATGTTCCTATCTAATTTGATAATTAAATGGGAATAAGTTAATTCTCTTTTCATTACAATTTGCCCTGAATGGCACTAATGGAATCACATGAGTTATGGCAAATAAATTTATTTTACTAAAAGTAAGTGTAGTGAATATTGCTTTAATAATAATCATTGTTCCAGTTATTATTCACAGGCTCTCAGCTCTGCAACCTCACAATTAAACCCAGTTAACTTGAACTAATATTTCTTTGTCCCTTTTGCTCCATCTTCAGTAAATTTAGCTTGATATGCTGTTAATCATTTTTGCAGGACAATTTATGTGGGGACCTGAGAATAACATGACCATGCAAAATTCAAAACCCGCCATGTGTGTAATTCTTCGATCAACTTCAGGGCCAGGTCTCTAGATTATCTTGTCCTTGTTCTCTGTTTACGTTTACATGTAGCATGCACGCTCTCTTTGCCCAGTTCATCTTCTTCAGTTCCAGTAAGATGTTTAGCGTCACTGGTAACTTTTTAAAGGAAAATTAAAATCAGTTATCTGTTAATACAGACCAGTGTTTTGATTGTGATGTGAAATAAGGCCCTTCTCTCGTTGCAAATTTAAATTCCCAGCAAAAAAGTAATGATCAGGTGACTTAAACAGGATTTTAAGTCAGTGGCCCAGCTTTATTGTTGTAGCAATGGAAGACAGGCTGAGGTAAAACAATCAAATGAATGTTATAAATCCAGAACAGAAAAATGCATCAAGGCAAAAGCACTACTTTTTTTATTTCATTTCAAAGTAGGACTGTAAAGAAAAGACCAAATCCTCTCCGCTTCCATATCTTCCCATGGGTGTAATGATAATGCACTGTGGGAATAAATCATGTTGGAGTTATTCCTCTTAAATCTTTGCTCCTTAAACTTAGTTTAATTTTTGTATGCATTGAACTATACAACAAAACGAACAGACTCATATTTTGAGTAAAAATATTGTTGTTGTAGCACTTAAAGTAAACTATTTTTTTAATACAGTTATTAAATTGGTACTGATAATAATGTTTCTTTGACTTGAACTTTCTCTACCGATTGGAGAATCTTAGAATTATCCTGAATTATTCCCCCTCCTGATGGTTCTCTCTGTACCCATGGACACCATCACTACTGACATAAAACAAACATGTGGAATTTGGAAGATGCGGTGCAAAGATAACCCTCAGACGTCTTTTGATTACAGGGTCAATGTCCTGTAAATAAAAGATAACAGATCAGATTTAGGAGAAAGGACTGAAGACCAAGATTGATATGTTAAAGTATTACAGAAGTTTGTACCTTCTCAGCAGTTTCATTTCTTCACTTCTAGAATAGGCTTTATTCAAAAATGGTGACTGCTTTAAATTTATGTCAGGTACAAAACACCTTAAGCTGCATTAATAATTTGTTTGACAAGTTATGGAATTGGAATTTAGAGTTTTTTAGCGGGGGGGGAGACTACCCAGAAAAAATTCTCGTGTAGCAGGGAAGAGAAGGAAACCTAATCTCAAGCTCCCACAACTGCCATTAACCTGGGGATACAAACTCAGACCATTTATGACCATAGAACTGCTGATCCGCCCTTTCTTCCCTAAGTACAGTGGAACCTTGATTTAATGATCCCCTGGGTAACGAAGTCCTCGGTATAATTATTAATGATCAATAATGTTTGCCCAGTATACCTAGTAGTGAAATAAAATAGTTATATGGAAAAGGACCTCGATTCCCTTGGCCTTTTATTACATTAAGGTTCCATTGTGTCTCCCCCGAAATAGGGCTTTAACCTGCCGTTTACTTCCAAGGTCACTTTGCTAATTTGCTTTGTGTGACTATCTGAGAGACAGGAAGAGGCTACCTTATTACATGAAATTTTCGCGACATGTGCGCATATTTCGCGCAATTAAATTTTGCGATTTGGGGAAAATTTTATATTTTGAATCACTTTAAATTCGCGTTTTTGAGTACAACAACTTACATTTCATAGACAATGTTATTTAACATGTCTGAATTAAATAAAACGACTTTATAAAAGGAACAATAATGTCAATCTTCAGATAACGCGAACAGCGGGACTAAATGTCAACAGTAACAACCAAGCAGTTCATGCTTGTACGTGAATTATTGTTCTTGAGTTAATTGACCACAACATCCATTTACACTAAAAATTCATCACAAAAGTAAAAAATGTGATTTGTAAACGTTTCTGTGGTAATAAACTCGTTCTTCCTTGATTATGGACATAACGTGAGTCACTTAATTTTCGCGTCATGTTATGTTCGCCACACTCATTGTTCGCGTTACTTTAATTTCGCGAAATTAACGTGTCGCGCAAATTTCATGTAATAGGGTACCTAAAACATGTATATTTTTTATTACCCTTCTATCTAGGGCTTGATTAAGCGGTTGTATTAGTTGCTCTGTTCGTGATAACATAAGTCGCATTGTCACCATGCTGGACCAGGCCATGCCAAGGGCAGGTATCACACTTCTTTGCTTACCATCACTGATGCCACTGTAAAAAGGAAAAGGAATTAATGTCATCAAATTCAACACATTCTTTCAGAAAATGAAATCAGAAGTTTTACAGCTCATCATCATCGCCATCACCATCATCGTCATTATTGTTATTATCATTATAGTAATAATAATAATTATTATTATTATCATTATTATTATTATTATTATTATTATTATTATTATTATTATTATTATTAGAACATACCTGTTCTTGTCACTTTGGATCACATCAGAGACCTGAGAAACATTTAGGGAATATTGAGTATGGTAGTAGTTATTTTCCAGGTTATCAGAAGTACGGTTGACTGCATTGTAGATTATTTTCTTAATTAACCTGCGGTTGGATGTGTATAAGATTCTTGGAAACTGCCCTGTCTATACATTTCCATAAAGAATTAGTCGGGAGAATTTTAATGAAAAGATCAAAGCAGTTTTCCTTTGGTGGTCATTTTATTGACTCTCATAACCATTTCTCTTGATCTTGTATTGATATTGTTAGGGGGAAATTAAGTTGATCACTGGGGAATTGAAGGGTTGAGGAGCAAAATGTTAGGTTAGGTTGGGGAGGGATAGGTTGGTAGTTGTGTAGCTGTACAGCATTATCCTCCTCCATGAGGGCAGGGCACGGTTAGGAGAAGGCTAAGGTAGTTATTAATTCATGTTTACATCAGAACTCCCAAATTTCGTTAACCCTCGATTTCAATATTATTGTAAACAAAATGATGTTTTACAACAATGAATTTCCAGTGAGAATCTGATGAAAATAATTCTCAAACACATACAGAGGAAACAGCAAAACTGACATCATCAACACATGCATACGTTGGGCTATTGTTCAGGGAAGTTGAAAAACTTTGCTTTTTTCTGTTTCTTCTTTGTCTTAAGTTTCACCAAGAAACTTAGATCTACTAATCCATTCATCTACAGATTCAACGATCTAGCGATCCACCGATTTACAGACTTACTTATCCATCGATCTACAGATCCACCGATCAATCGATCCACCTATCCAACAGATTTCCTGATCTACTGACCTACAGATCTACTGATCTAACCAATCCTACGTGGAGTAAAAATGACTTAGACTTGTTTGTAACTAAAAACGACAGTCTTATAATCAAGACTAAAGTCATCCCAGCTGTTAGTGATCATGATGCTGTGTCTTTTATGGTAATATCAAAGCAAAAATCAACAAACAAAAACGCAGGATGATTCCCTTGTATAGAAAAGTAGACTGGGGTGGCCTTAAAGAACACATGCCTAAATATGCAGACTCTGTCGTGCATTCTACTGACTGTGATCTATCAATAAATGAATTGTAGTCTAGTTTTTGAGAGGAATCGACCTCTGGTATCAAGCGATTCATACCACATCGGTTTACGAGCTCAAGAAATGGCCTACAATATGTGTCCCCTCTTTGAGACGCCTCATGAGGAAAAGAGATAAGCTACACGCAAGAAAGGATCCTCGCTACAATACCATTAAGCATCAAGTCCAAAAGAAGTTTCGTGCCGCATACGGGCAGTATGTGGAAGAGATTATTACCCCGACAAATGAAGAAGACTCGATGGGAGCAAACAAACAACTCTGGGGCTTGTTTAAGCGCTTCAAATCTGACAGCAAGGGGGTACCACCTCTCAAACATCAGGATAACTTAATAACCAATGCGGCCGGTAAGGCGACCGTTTTAAACAGATATTTCTAATGAGTGTTCACTAGCCATGTACCCTAAGGTGTGAAGCAACTTTGTCAAAATCAGAGCGATGGGCTTTTCGACACTACCCCTAACCGTACGCCATCTATGCCACCCATTTCAATTGCCACTGCTGGAATCACTAAGCTATTGGGAACCGATCCACTGATCAAGAGATCTACCGACCCATCTATCTACATAACCCTAACCGATATAGCGATCCGCCGGACTAGTGATCTGCCAATCTACAGAACCACCGATCTAGCCATCCATCGATCCAGCGATCCACCAATGTAACGATCTGTCCATCCGTTGATCTACAGCTCCACCGATCTAGTGATCCACCCAACTACCGATCTAGTGATCCAATGATCAACCCATTCACCGATCCATCGCTCTACAGAACTATTACTGATCCAGGGATCTACGGATTCACCGATCTAGTGATCCACCGATCCACCGATCCATCGATCTACCAATCTATCGATCTAGCGATCCACCAATCAACCGATCCACCCATCCATCTTTCTAGAGATCCACCGATCTAGCGATCTACTGATCCAGAGATGTACAGATCCATCGATCCAGCGGTCTGCAGATCTACAAATGATCCATCGATCTACAGATCCACAGATCTAGCGATCTACCGATCCATCGATCTACAGATCCACCAACTAGCGATCAATCAATCAATCAATAAACTTTATTTACCCTCGAATTTACAGTGTAGCACTCAAGTGCTAATATCTTCGAGCCGAGCGATCTATCGATAAACCGATCTAGGGATTTACCGATCTACCGATCCCTCTATCTACAGATCCACCAACCCATCGATCAAGCGATCTATCGATCCACCGACCTAGCGATCAACCGACCTAGCGATCCACCTATCAACCGATCTACCGATTCATCGATCTACCAATCCACCGATCTAACGATCTACACATCCACCGACCAAGCGATCCAAAGATCCATCGATCTACAGATCCACCGATATAGCGATACACCGATCCAGCGATCTACAGATCCACAAAACTAGCAATAAACCGATCCATCGATCTAGTGATCTACCAATCCATGAATCTAGCAATCCATCGATTTAGCGATCAACCGATCTAACGATCCACCGATCTAGCGATCTAGCGATCAACCGATCTAACAATTCCTCAAAAGAGATCCAGCAAGCTACCAATCCATCCATCTAGCGATCTGGCGATCTAGCGATCTACCGATCCATCGATCTAGCGTTCTGCCGATCCATCGACCTACAGATCCACGGATCTAGCAATCTACCAATCCCCCCATCCAGCGATGTACCGATGTACCGATCCATCAATCTAGCAACTTTGTCAAAATCAGAGCGATGGGGTTTTCGACCATACCCCTAACCGTACGCCATCTTTGCCACCCATTTCAATTGCCACTGCTGGAATCACTAAGCTACTGGGAACCGATCCACTGATCAAGAGATCTACAGACCCATCTATCTACATAACCCTAACCGATATAGCGATCCGCCGGACTAGTGATCTGCCGATCTACAGAATCACCGATCTAGCCATCCATCGATCCAGCGATCCACCAATCTAACGATCTGTCCATCCATTGATCTACAGCTCCCATGATCTAGTGATCCACCGAATTACACATCTACTTATCCATTAATTTACAAATCCACCGATCTAGCGATCTATCGATCCACTGATCTACAAATCTACTGATCCACAGATCCACCGAAACATGGATCTAAAGATCTACTCATCTAAAGATCCACTGATCGATCGATCTACTAATCTACTGATCTAAAGATCCATCCATCTACAGATCCACCGAACTACCGATCTGGTGATCCAATGATCAACCCATTCACCGATCCATCGCTCTACAGATCTATTAATGATCCAGGGGTCTACAGATTCACCGATCTAACGATCCAACGATCAAATGATCTAGTGATCCAACGATCCACCGATCCATCGATCTAGCAATCTACCGAACCATCGATCTAGCAATCTACCGAACCATCGATCTACCAATCCATCGATCTACCGATCCACCAATCTACCGATCCACCTATCCATCGCTCTAGAGATCCACCGATCTAGCGATCTACTGATCCAGAGATGTACAGATCCATCGATCCAGCGGTCTGCAGATCTACAAATAATCCATCGATCTACAGATCCACAGATCTAGCGATCTACCGATCCATCGATCTATAGATCCACCAACTAGCGATCAATCAATCAATCAATAAACTTTATTTACCCTCGAATTTACAGTGTAGCACTCAAGTGCTAATATCTTCGAGCCGAGCGATCTATCGATCCACCGATCTAGCGATTTACCGATCTAACGATCCCTCTGTCTACAGATCCACCAATCCATCGATCAAGCGATCTATCGATCCACCTATACACCGATCTACCGATTCATCGATCTACCAATCCACCGATGTAACGATCTAACGATCTGCCGATCCATCGATCTACACATCCACCGACAACGCGATCCAACGATCCACCGATCTAGCGCTCAGCCGATCTACCGATCTACCGATCCATCGATCTACCAATCCACCGATCTAGCGATCTGCCGATCCATCGATCTACAGATCCACCGATCTAGCGATACACCGATCCAGCGATCTACAGGTCCACAGAACTAGCAATACACCGATCCATCGATCTAGCGATCTACCGATCCATGAATCTAGCAATCCAACGATTTAGCGATCAACCGATCTAACGATCCACCGATCTAGCCATCTAGAGATCCACCGATCTAACAATTCCCCATCAAGAGATCTAGCAATCTACCAATCCATCCATCTAGCGATCTACCGATCCATCGATCAAGCGATCTGCCGATCCATCAATCAACAGATCCACCGATCTGCCGATCCATCGATCAACAGATACACCTATCTACCGATCCATCGACTTACAGATCCACGGATCTAGCGATCTACCGATCCACCGTTCTAGCGATCTAACGATCTCCCCATCCAGCGATGTACCGATCTACCGATCCATCAATCTAGGGATCCATTGATCTACCCATCCACCGATCTAGCGATCTGCCGATCCATCGATCTAGAGATCTACCGATCTACCGATCTACCGATCAATCGATCTACAGATCCACCAATCTGGCGGTCCACCAATCCAGCGAGCTACGGATCCACAGAACTAGCGATCCTCCGATCTACTGATCCATCGATTTACCGATCCATGGATCTCGCGATCCACTAATCTACCGATCCATCGATCTACAGATTCACTGATCCACCAATCTAGCAATCTACCGATCCATCAATCTAGCGATCCACCGATCTAGCGACACACCGATCCAGCGATCTACAGATCCACAGAACTAGCATTACACCGATCCATCGATCCAGCAATCTACCGATCCATGAATCTAGCAATCCATCGATTTAGCTATCAACTGATCTAACGATCCACCGATCTAGCGATCTAGCGATCCACCGATCTAACAATTTCCCATCAAGAGATCTTGCAATCTACCAATCCATCCATCTAGCGATCTGCCGATCCATCGATCTACCGATCTGCCAATCCATCGATCTACAGATCCACAGACCTAGCGATCCATCCATCTCAGATCAATCAATCAATCAATGACCTTTATTTACCCTCGAATTTACAGTGTAGCACTCAAGTGCTAATATCTTCGAGCCGAACGATCTATCGATCCACCGATCTAGGGATTTACCGATCTACCGATTTACCTCTATCTACAGATCCACCAATCCATCGATTAAGCGATCTATCGATCCACCTATCCACTTATCTACCGATTCATCGATCTACCAATCCACCGATCTAACCATCTGCCGATCCATCGATCTACACATCCACCGACCAAGCGATCCAACGATCCACCGATCTAGCGATCAGCCGATCTACCGATCTACCGATCCATCGATCTACCAATCCACCGATCTAGCGATCTGCCGATCCATCGATCTACAGATCCACAGAACTAGCAATACACCGATCCATCGATCTACCGATCTACCGATCCATGAATCTAGCAATCCATCGATTTAGCGATCAACCGATCTAACGATCCACCGATCTAACGATCCACCGATCTAACGATCCACCGATCTAGCGATCCACCGATCTAACAATTTCCCATCAGGAGATCTAGCAATCTACCAATCCATCCATCTAGCGATCTGCCAATCCATCGATCAACAGATCCACCGATCTACCGATCCATCCACCTACAGATCCACGGATCTAGCGATCTACCGATCCAGTGATCTACCGATCCACCCTTCTAGCGATCTAACGAACCCCCATCCAGCGATGTTCCGATTTACCGATCCATCAATCTTGCGATCCATCGATCTACCCATCCACCGATCTAGCGATCTGCCGATCCATCAATCTAGAGATCTACCGATCCATCGATCCACCGATCTAGCGATCTACCGATCCATCGATGTACAGATCCACAAATCTGGCGATCCACCAATCCAGCGAGCTACGGATCCACAGAACTAGCGATCCTCCGATCTACTGATCCATCGATTTACCGATCCATGGATCTCGCGATCCACTAATCTACAGATCCATCGATCTACAGATCCTCTTATCAACCGATCTTGCAATCTAGCGATCCATCGATCTAGCGATCCACCGATGTAGCGATTCACCAATCTAGCGATCTACCGATCCACCGACCTAACGATCCCCTGATCCACAGATTTAGCGATCTGGCGATCCATCGATCTACAGATCCACCGATCTCCAGATCCCTCGATTTACACATCCACTCATCTAGCGATCTACCGATCTAGCAATCTGCCGATCTACTGCTCCACCGATCTAACCATCCCCCACTTAGAGATTTATAGATCTACCGATCCATCGATCTAGCGACCTACCGATCCATCCATGTAGCGATCTACCGATCTGCCGATCCATCGATCTGCCAATCCATCGATCTGCAGATCCACAGACCTACCGATCCATCGATCTCAGATCCACTGATCTAACGATCTACCGATCCACCGATCTAGGAATCTACTGATCCATCGATCTACCAATCCACCGATCTAGCAATCTACCGATCCACGGATCTAACGATCCCCCCATCCACTGATCCACCGATCAAACGATGTACCGATTCATCGATCTACAGATCCACCGATTTAGCGATCCACCGATCCATCGAGCTACAGATCCCCTGATCCAGCGATCCAGCGATCCAGCGATCCACCTATTTAGCAATCTACAGATCCATCGATCTGACGATCCCCCATCCAGAGATATAGCGATCTACCGATCCATCGATTTACCTATCCATTCATCTATCGATCTCCCAATTCACCAATCAAGCGATCCAGCGAGCCATCTATCTACCGATCTATCGATCTAGCGATCCACCGATCTAGGGATCCCCCTATCCAGAGATCTAGCGATCTACCGATGCATCCATCTAGCGATCGGCCGATCCATCGATCTACAGATGCACCGATCTATCCAACCATTCATCCACCGATGTAGCGATCTACCGATCCATCGATCTACAAGTCTATAGAAAAAGCGATCCACCGATCCATTCATCTACCGATCCATCGATCCACCGATCTAGCGATTCACTTATCTAGCGATCTACCGATCCACCTACGTAACGATCCCCCGATCCACGGTCATGTTCTAATCCTGTCCGCCCGCGTCAAGAGGGTCTCCAATGCGATGGCTGTAATCGCTGGCAGCACCGCACATGCCATACCGGTATTTCAAGAGAGACTTATCGCGCAGCTGTTCAGTCCGGTCAAACCATTGACTGGCTCTGTGACCAGTGCAACCAACCAGTTGCTGAGAGTACTAGGCTGGACGAGGAGCTGGAGTCCACAATTTATGATCAACTTCTGGTGAGTTATTTGCTTATTTTATTATTCTTATTAAGTTATCCTATTTAAAAATGGAAACTATCTTTAATGTACAATATTATGGGAAATGTCTTCAATCTTATAATTCAATCTTATAATTATTTTCCGTTCACAGAATTGATCTCCTACCCGGTCTACTTCTTCACCGCTGAACTATGGTGCCTAGGCAGAGTCATCCCTTGCTGATCCGAGCATCCATGGTGAGCAGAACCAGCCGGATGAGAGCATAACCTATGAGATTGTACCGCAGTCAAGTAAACGGGGCCGTCCAAAGTTAATTGACAACCGTGGCTACACGTTTGGGTTCCAGCGACAACGCGGAAGCACGACCGACTGGCAATGCGTCGTACGTCCCAAGAACAACCCGTGCAAGGCTAAGGTGCGGCAGAAAGAGAACAGATTTGAGCCAGGTTTGCATTGCCACAACCATCCAGCATCAGTTGGCGCTGCAACGACAGCTAAAGTCATCGCGAGCGTGAAGGCTAAGGCAGTGGAGGATCTATTCAAGCTCGCCAAGCAAACAGACTGCGCCAGAAACTACGTCCCGAGGACCCAACAGACCTCGACTTTGAGTTGGAAGAAGAACATATCCCCGATCACTTTTTCAGAAAAGATGTTCAGGTCCGAGAGCGCAGACATTTAATCTTCGCCACAGATGAGCAGCTGAGACAACTTGGGAAGGCGAAATCCTGGTACATCGACGGCACGTTTAAACTCTGCAGACTGCCGTTCACTCAACTCTTAAGCATCAACGCTTTCGTGCGAAAGGAGGACTGCGCCAAACAAGTACCCCTGTTATTTGTACTGATGTCGGGCAGAAAAAAAAAGGATTATTGCAAGATTCCCGAAGTTAGAAGAGAGGTATTAATTCCACTATTTCAATAGACAATCCTGTTTAAATAAGCAAATAACCTGTTCTTTCAGGTTCTTAAAGAAGTACTTGACTTGCTACCAAGTTCCCTTTCGTTGAAGAGGATTACGATAGACTTTGAAAAGGCTCTTTGGTCCGCAATAGGCCAGTTACTACCTGATGTGGACATCAGAGGTTGTGCCTTTCATATGACCCAAGCACTGTGGAGAAAGGTTAGTAAGAAATTATTGTAAACTGTTTAACTAAAAAATATATCCGTAAATCATAAATCTTCAAAATTTTCGCCGATTAGTGGGAACAAGCCATGTAGTGAATATCTTTGAGTGACACATATTCTAACTAATGAGGAGCAAGACCAATTTCGTTTAATTTCCCTTTTTTTTTTTCCTAGGTTCAAGAGCTCGGGTTACAGAGTGCGTACTGCAATGATCCCGGTACCCACGAAAAATGATGGCCTTGCCCTACTTACCGGACCAGGAGATTGAACCGATGTTCCACCGGCTAGAGAGGCAAGCTCCCACTCCCACTCTTCAGGAATTCTCCCAATACGTGAAGTCAACATGGATCGAGAGCAGAATATGGCCAACGTCATCCTGGTCCGTTTTTATGCAATCTGTTCGGACCAACAACGACTTAGAAGGCTGGCACCGGGGTTTAAACAGTAAAAATTTCTGTATAGAGAGGCAAGGTTGACATCCCTTCAGATGAGACTCGTTTCGGAGCGCAAGCTAAAACGAATTCAGCGTAGACAATTCAGGAATCTCCAAACCAAGATCTTTAACCTATGGGAGGAATTTAGGAACGGAGAGAGAAGCGCAAAGCAACTCCTAAGTGCGATCTCTTATCTTATTGCACCCAGCCAGTGAAGATATCAAGCAAAGATTAGGTTAGAATTTGGGACTGAAACTAGATATATTTGAATCGCTTTCTTATTTAGCTTAAAAACATTTAATATTGACTTTCAAAGGGGCGGGTGTCACTAGGACGACCCACACGTCCCCGCGTGTAATAAGTACATTGGCATCGCTTTCTTATTTAGCTTAAAAACATTTAACATTGACTTTCAAAGGGGCGGGTGTCACTAGGACGACCCACACGTCCCCGCGTGTAATAAGTACATTGGCATCGCTTTCTTATTTAGCTTAAAAACATTTAACATTGACTTTCAAAGGGGCGGGTGTCACTAGGACGACCCACACGTCCCCGCGTGTAATAAGTACATTGGCATCGCTTTCTTATTTAGCTTAAAAACATTTAACATTGACTTTCAAAGGGGCGGGTGTCACTAGGACGACCCACACGTCCCCGCGTGTAATAAGTACATTGGCATCGCTTTCTTATTTAGCTTAAAAACATTTAACATTGACTTTCAAAGGGGCGGGTGTCACTAGGACGACCCACACGTCCCCGCGTGTAATAAGTACATTGGCATCGCTTTCTTATTTAGCTTAAAAACATTTAACATTGACTTTCAAAGGGGCGGGTGTCACTAGGACGACCCACACGTCCCCGCGTGTAATAAGTACATTGGCATCGCTTTCTTATTTAGCTTAAAAACATTTAACATTGACTTTCAAAGGGGCGGGTGTCACTAGGACGACCCACACGTCCCCGCGTGTAATAAGTACATTGGCATCGCTTTCTTATTTAGCTTAACAACATTTAACATTGACTTTCAAAGGGGCGGGTGTCACTAGGACGACCCACACGTCCCCGCGTGTAATAAGTACATTGGAATCGCTTTCTTATTTAGCTTAACAACATTTAACATTGACTTTCAAAGGGGCGGGTGTCACTAGGACGACCCACACGTCCCCGCGTGTAATAAGTACATTGGCATCGCTTTCTTATTTAGCTTAAAAACATTTAACATTGACTTTCAAAGGGGCGGGTGTCACTAGGACGACCCACACGTCCCCGCGTGTAATAAGTAAGCTTACATTAGTTGTTAGCAATAAAAAGTATAATGGTAGTAATGTATTCACAGAGTACGAAATAATTGTGCTTAGCAACCATGTCATGATACTTAAGCACGTGCAACAACCAAGATGGCGGCGGTTTTCCATGTTGTTCCCGATCCCGTCTTGAGGCAGTGCTGTTGATCCCCCTTCAAAAAAAAATGCTTCGACATAAAAGCAGAGTAGTAAGAACTGTAGAAATCGATATTCGAGGGTTACAAAACGTTAGTGAAATGAGTTAAGGCGTTAAGCAAACAGGACTTCAGCCAAACGATGAAGCGACCGTAAATGTCGTAATTAGCATTTTAAATCATATTTCATATTCTTCAAGACAAAAAATAAACGAACTGTTAATGGTAGTGACTAAATCTTCAAAAGTTGGCAAGTTTTTCTGATTGAATCGAAACGACCTCAAGTGGATCGAACCGACTTAAGGTATGTATCGAATCGACTTCAATTTGTACCGAAACTACTTGTATCGAAACGACTTTGTATCGAAACGACCGGTAACCCAGAAAGGTTCAGAAACCGTGGATCCACCGATATCTATCGATCTACAGATCTACTGATCAAACGATCTCCCGATTCATCGATCTACAGATCCACCTATTTAGCGATCTACCGATCCATCGAGCTACAGATCCCCCGATCTAGCGATCTGTCTATCTATCGACCTACAGATCCACAGATTTAGCGATCCACCAATCCAGCGATCTACAGATTCACAGAACTAGCGATCCACCGATCTACCAATCCATGGATCTAGCGATCTACTGATCTACCGTTCCATCCATCTAGCGATCTACCGGTCCATCGATCTACAGATCCACCGATCTAGCGATCTGTCTATCTATCAATCTACAGATCCACAGATTTAGCGATCCACCAATCTGGCGATCTACAGATCCACAGAACTAGCGATCCACCGATCTACCAATCCTTGGATCTAGCGATCTACTAATCTACCGATTCACCCATCTACAGATCCACTGATCCACTGATCTAGCCATCTACCGATCCATCGATCTAGCGATCCACCAAGCTAGCGATCCACCGAGCTAGCGTTTCATCAATCTAGCATCTACCGATCCACCGACCTAACGATCCCCCTATCCACAGATCTTTCGATCTGGCGATCCATCGATCTACAGATCCACCGATCAAACGATCTACTAATTGATCGATCTACAGATCCACCGATCTAGCGATCCAGCATTCCACCGATCTACCGATCCGTCGAGTGACAGATCACGCGATCTACCGATCCAGTATCGATCTACCGATCCATCGATCTACATAACCCCAATCGATATAGCCATCAACCGATTCACCGATGTACAGATCCACTCTTCTAGCGATCTACAGATCCACCGATCTACCGACCCAACGATTCACTTACCGAGCCATGAATCTACCGATCCACCGATCTGGCGATTTACCGATCTATTGAGCTACAGATCCCTAGATCTAGCGATCCACCGATTCGTCGATCTACCGATCCAACGATCTAGCGATTCACCGACCCAGCGATCTACCGATCCACCGACCTAACGAATCCCCGATCCACCGATCTACAGATCCAACGATCTAGCGATCCACTGATCCACCGATATAGCGATCTAGTGACCCACCGACCTAAGGATCTACCGATCCATCGATCTACAGATCCACATATCTAACGATCTACCAATCCATCGAGCTACAGATCCCCCGATCTGGCGATCCACCGATCTAGCGATTTATTGATTCACAGATCTAGTGATTTACCGATTACAAACAAATAACCGATGCTACTAAGCGAGCCTAACAACGTTTAAAATAAGTACTAGTATGTTTTCGACTATTGATGACTTTTCATAACCACCACTTTCTTTCAACGCACTGTAACTACACTATCCCTTCATAACCAAATTATCACTTCAACAACTACCTCACTGCTACAACTAAATTAAGTATTTTTTGTTACTTCATATTAAATTCTACGAGAAACAAGTTTTTCTGATTAACAAACTACAGGCATTATCTTACCAATTCACGTCCAATATAACTCCAGTACTGAGTCTCGCCTTCCATTCCACGTATCTCAACCAACTGCTGCAGTGCACTATTCACACATTCCTCATTCACATAAAAAACTTCACACACGCCAAGTTCATCGATTCCCAAATATACGCTCCCACAGCGTCTTGCTGTGTTTATGAAAGTTTTGCTTAAAATGCTAATGCCAACAAGGTGAGGAAAGAAATAAGTACACCACAGGACTACCAACATACCTGGTTTACACACACCACAGGAACAGCATACTGCGCACTAAGCTTGTGAAGCTGGGCTCCAAATGACCTAAGAACATTTGCTCGCTTTGAAGTTTCACCAAATGAATATTCCACACGGCAAAGAGCGGCAATGGAATCAATGACAACAAGCTTGATAGCTCCCCTATTAAGCAGCACCGGCAGGCGATGGTTAATGATGTTCCTCAAGTCATCCTGTATTATTAAGAAATATGCTGTAATCAATTCTTACTTAACCAATTTCAAGCCTTCAGGAAGCAATATATCAAGCGTGAGACGCAGTGTTTCATCACCAGACGAAATGCTGAGACGAGAGTTGAAAATAGGATGCACTGGGGAGTATTTTTGAGGAACTTTGAGGTGTTTCATCAGGTTATGAAACGCTGTGTTGAATGCTTGATATTTCTTCTCAAACAACATGATTTTTGAAGGAGAATTTAAGGATGCAAAAATAAGCAGTTTTTCATCTGATTTTCATACACTCATTTAACATTAATTTCCCAAGTATTTTCTTTATGAATTATTAATGAGTTTGAGAAGATCACATCAAGATGCAATTTATGTGAATCTAACCTGAATGGCATCACCATGTCTTTTGTGGTTTTGTGGGGATTGGAAGGGCTTAACTGGTTACTTAATTACAGGAGGCTCAGTCCTGCAAGGATGGGCACTCCCTATTTGGATCAACAAGGTAAGTGCTGCCAAAAAGGGTGTGGTTTTCAGGGCCTTGAGTCTTTTAAAATTATACAGTCTTAATTACACAGGGTATACAATTTGTCACTTTCTAGTGTCTTGAGCCGCACATAAACATATAAAGGTCTTTTTGTAATAACTGGGTAGCCAATTGAAAGGGTTGTGTCTTAAACTGCACACTCCAAGCAAACATACCTTCATTACCGCTCCCCCCCCCCCCCCCCCCCACCCCCCCCACTTGGTCTTTTAAAATTCTACTGGTTAAATAAACCGGGGTGTACAATTTTGCCCTGTTATTTTGCGTGAGCGCCAAAAAAATAAATAAAGGTTTTTTTTTCATAACTGGGTAACACATTACTAGGGTTTTTGCCTCAACCGCCCCCCCCAACCAAACATCCCTTCAATCCCCCCCCCCCCCCCCCCCCACCATTACCACCACCACCACTATCCTCAAAGGCTCAATAGCAAAGTTTATACATAATAATACATTCATAGTAATACATTCATGTATTTAAGGGCTGTAGAATGATTCCTCCAAAAGTGTGGGTCTTGGAAAATTTTGGCCCGATCTCAAAAGTTGGAAGCATTTGAGGTGGGTCTTGAAGTCTCGTTGTCAGGTGGTTTTGTGTTTTGGAGTGTTAAATTTTTTTAAAGACTCGTTCTCAAATTTTGCAACTCACCAAGTATATCTCTAAAGCCATGTTGTTCGATTGATTGATTTTGGGACTTACCACATCAGCTGCATGTTCAATAAAAACATTGTCACTAAACTTGATTTTAACAGCTGAAGGATGTGATGCTTGATTTTTGGCAAAACACTGTGTAAGCTGATGGAGTCGTTTACTTGGAAAAACATCCTCAGTTGAGATATAAACTGCACCTATATGGGGGAAGTGCAAGCTTCAGTGAGAACCGTTTATAATTTAAAACACTTCAATCAGAGGATTATAAAACTAGGCCACATCAGCTAGAAACACCTAAGACCATTGATTTTTTATTTTTAAAATTAAATTACATTTCTTTTCTTTACAGTTAAATAAGATAAGGTATTGAGGATGGGGACATTTTGTCTTTTATAAATGATAATGAACATTCATTTAATCATGAGCTCAATGTTTGACTAACAGCGATATAATTATAAGAAATGGAAGTTGACTGCTACTAAAGGTTCAATGTGGGTAACAAGAGGAGCCCACAATCCTAATCTCCAGGTTACTATTACGCATGCACGTCATGTTTGTAGCCAGTTTCATTTGGACTCCCTCTAGGAAGAGGTCCTGTTAGGGTAAAAATTCCCACAGGTGACATGGCCCTGAAACAGTGACAGAAGACTAGATAAAATGCCAACAAACAACATGAACATGGGTTAAATACCGACAAGGACATAGCCTACTCTGCAAAGTGTGAAAAAATCGTATTTGAAATTCAGATTAGAGAAATATGTACCCTCCCTAAGAGGCCCCCTAAGAATGACTGGAATGCACAGAACACAATCTGATCACGCAAATTTGGGCCTTCTGTCACCAGTAATATGATCACATGTGATTTGACAGGGTGCAAAGAAAGTCAGTTTTACAGCCTGCCATTCGGGCAAGCTGAAGCTGGCATGTACTAGCCGTCAGGTCATTTCAACTAGCCCCAAACCCTTTTTGATTAGCAGGATTGATGACAATCCTTCAGTAATTTGAATTTCCCCAAAAAACAGCACTTGCCTGTCAGGCAAGTTACGAACAAAAATCACTAGCCCAATAGCAAAATCTACTAGCCCCGGGTTATCAGACACAACTGTCTTTGCACGCTGTTTGACCATGTATCACGTCAAACTTACATTAACCTTTGGTTATTACTAATAATAATATTTTATTATAACAAATACCTCCTTCAAGCCCTCCTTTTTCCTCAGGTAACTGGACTGTCAGGCACAACTGCAAGCAGATCTGTGTTTTTCCACAGGAGCTCTCTCCTGTCACCTCTGTGATGCCCTGCTTCAGGATGCCCCCATGAAGAAATTCATCAAGTATCTGGCATCCTAGAGACAACTTGTGTCCCCAAGGTGACCCCTCGCCTTTGGCCTGAATGTTGTAGAGTGACAGGGCAGTTCTCATAGGTGGACATGGGAGAGAATATGAAACAGCTTTAAGAAGAATGGCGATGTCAAAGAAAGATAGCTTTGTGGCTCTCTCAAGATCAGCTGCTGACATGCAGAGGATGGTGGCAAGACTTGTCAACTTTGCTTGAAAAAATATAGATATATTCCAGATTAAAATAATGATAATTCTATTCAAGCAAATTGGCTGGGCAACAAAAATTGCATTGGTCAATGCCAGCTGCACCCATCTTGCCTCCCGGGCTTACTCACTTAAGCCTTTTTTCGCATGGCAAATTCCCAGGGACTGGGGCCACTTAAGGTGCTTAGGATGTAAGAAGAGGGCAAATACCCCACCCACTCCCGGAGTGCAGGTGAAAATCCGGGGGCTGCCATGGGGTCATCATCCCATCAAAGGCAAGCTGTACCCCCACGGCTGTTCCACAAGTGCAGCTCCACTATAACAAAAGCTTCTTTCTTATAGTGTAATCAATACTAATAAAACATAGTAAATGATCATGAATTTTCACTGAGAAGTACAGAAAACTTTCCATCGATCGATTGCTCTTAACTACAGAATACCCTGCCACTTCGAAGTTGTATCCCTGAAAGAGCTGGATACGTGGATACGCAGTTATCCCTTTTATGCGCTTTTCTACCTTCAGTGGCTTTAAGAACAACAAATGGACATAAGCTTGTTATAAGCTTTATATGCAGTCTAAGTGTGTATCTAAGTGGATACACGGATACGCCGTGACTATTTACTAAGTGGATACGCGGATACGTGCATACGTAGTGACTGAGTATCCGCGTATTCACCTATCTCTTACCCTTCTTGAGGGCTGCAATAATTCGAGGATGAACATCTAGCCTGTCCACATTGTTCATCGTATTTCCTTTATCCTTTTGAGAGGATGAAGATCGAAAATTTGGACGATTATTCAGCTGTTTTGAAACAAGCGCCTTGCCGCCATGATAAAGATTTCGCAAGGACTTCTGGGTTGCAAACAAGTTTCCAGATCTCCACGGAGAAGAGGCCCGTCTGTCCACAGGCCAGGCAAGCTCTAGCCACAGTTGTGCAAACGTTTGATAGCGCAGTATGCAGTGGATAAATCTCTCTATCCAGTGGATAACGCCATTGGTTCTCCTAATGCTTGACGGCTGAACACTAATTTATCTGGTGGATAGCGCTATCCAACGTTTCAACAACCGGGGCCTGGGTTAGGTTGCATAAAACCTTCTTAAGATAAGAGAGCTCTTAACTTTTATTCTGGAACAATAACCTGTTGTTTTGAAATAATAGTTACTTACGAGTTCCCTTAATCTTAAGATGTTTTTTTGCAACCCAACCCTAGTGCTCACTTCGCTCGCCGATTTTCTCCTTCAACCCGCTTCACATGAGAACCTGTTCGCAGGCGAAGTTCTGGTCACAGACTCAGTCCCGTTTAAGGTAATTTGTTCTGGCCCCACAGACTAGCCTTTTCTTGACTTATGTCAAGAGCAATTTCAAAGACTTAGTTGTCCAGTTACGTTACGAAAAGTTTGCGCATTTCATTTGACTATGCAACGGTTTCGCCGAAAAAAATCGAGAAACTACTGACTAACGAACAAGAATATACGAAATTTGATTGGTTAATCAAACAGACACAAAGCGCAAGGCTTTTTTGGCTGATTTAGCGTACACCCAACATATTCACAGCTGAGGAGAGGTTACTGAAAAGTGATCCCGGCGGCCTTCATGATCAAGTAAGGCATTCCCACGGGGATCCTGAAAAACGTATTGAGGACGCTCGTTTACAATATCAAGTCTGTTCGATCGTCCATGACGTCGCCATGCCACCACTATTATCCTACTCCTCTTTGCAACACTACTAGCCTGTTCCAGGCACCTAGATAGTCTGGTCCGCAGAATTGAGAAAGCGCAAACAAGAAAAAAACGGGAGGAAACTGGGGAGAGGAGGGGCGGCCCGCCCCACCCTGCTTTTCGCGCGCCTTTCTCTTTCGCGCCTTCTCCACTATCTGAGAGCCTCGAACAGGCTACAACACTACAAGTGAGGGCGCCCATAGGGTATACCTCTGGGAAATAAACAGTTAAGAAGCAATCACGCCTCTTCCTGTTAGTCATTATAATAGACATCAAAAAGGGGTTTACTCAGTTCCTGACAGTTCCACTAAATTATTACTATTATTTGAATACGAAAAAATTCCATTCTCATAAGAAATATTCAAATTTTTACTTCGATAAACCATATAAGTTAAGAGATGACATCTTTCAATGCGATAGTCAGTTGGTATGTTGTTTAGATTTATACACCTACGGCAGCTAACTTAAATCATCATTACTACAGTTACAGTCAAGAAACTTTCCCTGATTGATGCCTCCTCCCTCCCTTCCCTTACCACATCCTGTCACTCATTCGATTGCTAGAGTTTATCGCTTGAAAACTGTTAACCTTGGCCCGAATGGAATAGAAACAAAAGCTTCAGAAGACAATCGATAATAACTAGGAGACAACACAATAGAACCCAAAATAATTTTTGCATGTAACACCCCAAGAAACATCCCATTCATACTTGAGCAATTCAGTACTATCGAAACTCGGGCAATCCTTTTGAAAGTAGGGGTTAGTTTTGGAAGTATCTGTACCTTTTGATGAGCCGGTGGGGGAGTGAAAGTGAAATTTACTTTGAACTTTTACTGAGCAATTTACATTTACACCACCATGAAATGATTCAAAAGCCGACATAGCGTCTCGAACCGTAAAGATTTGGCTCTATCAGACCGGATCGAGTTGGTAGATGCGATTGGTTACCGCCGCGCAGCTAAAATAGCCTGCGAACAGCAAACGCTATTTTTCGGAGGGAGAGAAGCGACGACCGGAAATGCGTCTGTTGTTCGCAGGCTAAGCTAAAAGGGCAATAGAGAAGCTTTCGACCAGCGCTAGTCGATCTTCGGATCAAATTAAAAGAGGAGACTGGCTAGGCGTAACAAAATTTCAAGCAGTCCAGGGGCGTTTAGTATATGTTCAAATTACCAATTGAGTTACCCCTGCGGCTGCCCTGAGGGGGCGTCACCTTGGCCATTAATCACCTAACTGATCGTCTGCTATCGTCTGCTCAGATCTCACGCGATGGGTTTATGATGTCGTTTCTCGTGATATTAGCCCGGGGAGCACAATCTCAATCAATCGGAATAAACTACTGCTTCCTTAATCAGGGGGACAAAGGATCAAATTACATCTCTTATTTATATTACACTTTTACCGCAGTTGACTAGCCATGCAACACATTTGAAGAATTCAAAATGCTTGTGGATTGTTTGCCGTTATCACAGTGTGTGTTGTCGATACGTAATTAACACTAAAATAAGTTGATAACCGCCTGTAGCGAACTGGTGATAACTGATCAAGCCGTTCCCTTGTAACTTTTTGAACGCAGTCGGACAAGCGAACCTGACCGGCAACCGGCGAATTGTCACTAAGCTTCACTAAACCGTAACCATATTTTTTAACTGATATGCTGGCTGGTTAAGTTTCCGTGATCGAAAAATCAGAATTCAGTACGTCTACTCAGTGTATATTTTTGCTGGCAAGGTCTTTTATAGATCCTACGTTTTGCGGCATATTCGTTTGCGGTCCTTTACACTTTAAATGTCAATTTATCGAAAAAAGCGCGGAATTTTCGTAAACATTGTGTGAGCTTACCGATATGGCTGGGTTGACCATATACTGCATTCTCGACCCCAAGTGACCGAAGAAACACTAACGACCCACATATATATACAACTCAGGAATATGCGCAGCTTTGATTCGCTGAGAGAAGAGCAGCATTTCGCTGCTGGTTGCACTCTTTTTCAATAGCTTGAGCGAAAAGGGGTTGGGCGGGTTCATGTAGGAAAACAGGCCCACTTTACGTATGACTCTAGTATAAATTTCAAAACCGGTCGTTTTGAGGCGCAGGCCATGTCGCTGTCGTTATTTCTCTATTGTTTTTGCGATTGTCTCTGTCGCTCTCGCAGTTTCGACCTATCTTCATGTCGTTTGTCGCTATTTCATCTGTCAAATGTCACTGTTTCAAAGCCATGTCGTTTGTGGAATTTTTATCCTAAACAGGGCGTCGACAATTGGAGAAAGCTATTGTTCGCTCCATGTAAGGAAATCCAGTATCCTGGGTCTTGGAATCCGGAATACAGCTGTAGGAATCCGGAATCCAACTTCTACTGAAAAAGATCTTGAATCCAGTAATTAGAATCCTGAATCCACAATCCAAGACTGTCTTGGATTCCCTTACATAGGGGCGAGATTGTGATGTGTATTAACCGCACGAAGTATAGATGAAGCCTTCTGGCGGCGACACGACAAATGGTACTTGCAAGTATACGTATAGTTCGATCCTTGAAAAGAGGAAGGGGTTTTATCTATCGCTCGAAGAAGGGGCTTCGCCGCGCTGCTAGTGAAATTTTGAATGCAAACAATCAAACACGCCCTTATCATTAAGTCGTTTCAAAATACATGAAACTTTCAATCAATCGAGTGTTTATGAACCTGCCTAGGTTGTTTTCACTCATGATTTTTATATACCAATTCGAATAGGAAATAGAATGAAGAAAGCATGTTATTTATTTAAGAATCACCTATTTATTATTTATAAATTATTTATTTAATTATTTATTATAGCATTAAAACGTCGACAGCTTTCAAGTTGTTCAGAGGCTTCTAGATCTTTTATAATGACACGCTGAAATCTATATCGTACTCAAGGCTGAGGGCTATTTATCTTCCAGCGCAGACAAACACAAGCGCGAAAATTGAGCTCGCTCACGCTAAGCAATTTTCTTTGTGTAATAGTCATGGCTGTAACAGCTATATGAGAGACTGTTCTGTCCTTGCATTGGTAGGACCGCAAATGGCAAGGTAAAGACTCGTGCGATCACAGTGTATCCCGCCGTCTATCAATCGCTGGTCGTTAGCCGAGGGCTAACGCTTAACCATACCAATTGAAGTGTATCCTCAGTTGCTAAACTGTGTCCATAACTCCACCAGTTGAGCTAACAGTCTAGCTACTTCCTTGACTCGGAGATTGATAACATACTTCTATGTCCTTCAATCCTAAAAGTATTTTGTGATTTTAGCGGCTAAATATAAAAGCGGAATAGGTTCTGGGGGAATGCATTTCCGACACTTACGGAGCAACTTTAGAGAACAATTCCTTCCGTAATGGTATTTTTTCCGGGAGCTGATTACATATCAGTTACTGGAGAAATTCCGTAAGTAGACCTTATATCCTATGAACACCCAAAATTTCAGCTATTCCAAAGTTGAAATTGTACCAAAGGCAAATTGACAATAAAACGCCACCCCTCAAACCAATAGCCCCCTTCCCTGATCTGCTCCCGTGCACGCCCTTCCTAGATCCTTCCCGTATCTTTGCACTACATAATCAAAAAAGAGAGAATGATCAACTTAAACAGTAATCTCAAAATTTAGAAGTCCTAACTGTGTCCGTAAAGATATTAGAAGAAAGAAAAGTATTTTCCAAAACTGGTCAGACTTAATCCTCATTCATTCTATGTTACCCTATTTGCCATCTTCGTAATGAGCTAAAACTTGTCTGGGCATCAATTGAATTCCCCTAATAATGTTCCAGTTTGTTATTTAAGACTGTTAAGCTAAGGTATTGAAACTGTTTCCTGTCGTCTGTGGTTACTGGCAAGAATATTAATTATAGCTGAGCCCATTTTTTTCAAGTTTTCGCATGCCCGGTGTATGACTGCAAAAAGCACCTAAAAGAAAAATTCATGTTTCATGCTTCCTAATGAAGCATTTTGATACCTTGTTCATAACTCTAAAGGAACACTTTGTGTATTGGTAGAGTGATGGCTCAGAACTGACCTAAAACAGCAATATCCTCGTGACATAGCTCCGAACCGACCTTGCCCAGTCTCTGTCTAGACTCGACTAAGAAATGATACTATAAAC